AAAAATAAAATTAAATAAGTTTATAGCCAAAATAATTAAAGCCCGTACACTACATCAGATTTTAATCAGATTGGATAAATCCCAGTACATGTTTATTTCAAGGTGGTACTGTCGACACTATAAACCCATTAGTTTTTTTTTTTTATTGTGAAATATCATTAATTAATTATTGGCAATTCAAAATAACAAAAGTTATGTTGAAATATTGAGTTTAAATGGCGGCAGTCGTCGCGCCGCGTCCTGTTTGATATGGGACTCATAGCGACGTATACTACGCGTAGGAATAACATTGTTTATTTACATGAAATTCGAACACGCGCTGCGCGACGACCACCGCCCTTAAACCAATACTGAACAATAATAACCATAAATTTGTATTGCTCCTATATATGAATAAATGGTTGACGACAGATGTGTGACTGACATCTGATCCATTCCAAACCGAATGTATGTACAAGTATATAGCTATTCATTGGTATGAGAGATGATTATGGGCATTATGCTATAAAATTGTTATATTTTAGAATATGCTACCATAGTCACGTGACATGACAGACAATTTTCATACAGACCATTTGTTATTTCGATTCCATCTTTTATTTTTCACCATATTTTATACTTTTTTTGTTAATTAGATCGCGATATATCCGTAATAGGATAATATATTAACTTAGTGCTGGGAGGAATGTACGAATGTGTGCACACCACCCGACGGGTAAAATGACCGAATCTGTGAACACTCATGTATGTCAGACAGCCATGAATCATCTACGTTCAACTTGCATTGAAGACAGTACTTGTTGATTCAGGCTACGCTAACTCGTCATTTTGTCAAACTTGTATCAACCTACAACTACAAAAGTGAACTATTTGTCGCCATGCACTCCCCAAATAAATCAGCACTGTACTTGTTTTTAAAAAGACGGTGAATATATAACAATACGCTGAAAGCGAATAAAGTTAGGTATTTTATCTTAGTGTTGGGAGAAAGACCATGGGCGCCAAATGTGTTTCATCCATCATCGTCCAATTCGCATGGTTTTCGAGGTGAAAACCCCCAACCCACACGGCAGGCAAAATGACGCGCCTATAAAAACGAAAGTGCATCACTCATCGCCTCTGAGCTGTGCCCGTTTTACCCATGATCCTTTGCTGTAAACATGGCGGTCACCGGCTCTGTGATGGTTTGATTTGATTTCCAAACAAATGCCATTATTTATTTGTTGTGCGACTGATTTTTTCACACCATGAATCGAAGACCGGGACCCCCTCATGGGAGATCTGGAACCGGACAAACGTTTAATATTCCGGGACCCGCCGGCTCACAAAATGCTTACCAGGGCGGAGGTACTGGACAACAACAAGGATTTCCACCGTATAGTAATGCCACCTCTATGCCTGTGCCTGGTTCCTTCGGACCCGTGCCGAACTTTGGGATGCCTTTTCGCCCAGCAGCAAACACGTTCCCCGCTCAGGTGCAACAAGGACAGGTATGTCTCGAAGTGATTATTTGATCTCGTCAACTAAGTTAGTTGTTCATAATGTACATACACTGTGATCGTATTGGAGTGGAAGGTCAGCCACAAATTTTGAGCTTTCAGATTAAGGGTTTGTATGATCCACATGTAACATTGTGTAAATGTTTTGTAAAACATCTGAGGATGATAAATTATAACCCGCTTCCATTGGTAATAAAAACATGGATTAAATCAATTTGTTATTGCTGTAAGTCAGGTGCTTGTGTTCCGAAGACAAGCATGTTGACTGTAACGTTGCAACTTATTTCCTCAGTTCAAACTTGTATCTGTGGTTTCTTGATGTTTGTATAACACGCTCCTCTAACCAAAAGTCCCTTAACAGAAACCAATGCAATTGTTCAGAGGTATGTCCACAGTCTCTTGTTACCCATAACAAGTCTTTTATCAACAATCGGAGGTCCGTACCTCCTCCACTACACACAATTTAATGCTGTTCAGTGTTTTGATCTGTACTAAACTAAAAGATGAGAGGTATTGTAAATGCGAAATAAGTACAACATACACAGACAAATTGATAAAAATTGTCCTGGAATGTTTGTTTTTTCTTCTGTGTCACTGTTGATCATGCCTTTGATGTCACTGCTATGTTGAGACTTTTTTAAAACAAGTGCAATACATTTTAGAACAAAATTAATTAACGAATAATTCAGTGAAAATATAATCCAGCGAATATACATTTTTTTCTATATTTTACATTCAACTCATCAAAAATCAGTGAAAATAAATTCCACACAAAAAGTGGTTGCAGCGAAAATTAATTCCAGCTAATTTAAAGTATTTTACAGTATGTGACTTATTCTAGTGACTACATAGACGGTATCTCATTGTGTAATCAAAGGTTGTAAATTTATATGAATGGAGATTCAAAACATTGATGTGAACATTTAAACTAAATTTGTGGCATATCCATGGCTCAGCTAATGAGAGTGTATCCTATACATATATATGTATACACATCATTACAGCATAAAATCTCAATAATTATGTGAACTTTTTCTGAGTAAAAAAACTAAATTTTCAATTCACATTTTTTGCTATATTTACATGTAATACCCTTCTCCGAATACATGTACTTAGCATTGAAACACAGTACAATTGAGTACAGAAGTGAATGAGGTGGATATTTATTCCGCAACATAATCGTCATAACATAATCCAACTAATAGTGCACATGACTGGGGTTCAGGCACCTCAAAATTGTCCAAACACTGTGTCTTAAATGGCAAGGTGTCATGGGACACGTGTTAATTATTAGCCATATTTATTGTGTAATACTGTAAATTTAACAAAAAACACTTGTCTGAAGTTATTGAATAAAATTAGGACATTTAAAAAAAATATTAGCAAACTGTCCAGTGAGCATCTGAATCATTATGATAATAACAATGATTTCGGGTTGATATCCAATCTGATTGAAATAAAATCTTATTTAATACACACCGTATAATAAATAAGATTTGAATCAAATTCAGTTGATATACTGAAAACATGTTCACTTCACTTCAATTTAAAAATCAGCTTTTTCATGACATTTTTTCGAAAAGTAACTTACAAATGTTTCTCAATCTTTTTTTTCAGATACAGCCTCCTGGTTGGAGGCCACCACCATTTCCAAATTTCCAACTACCTGGTTTCCCACCGAATCCATTTCCATCTAACCTTAATCCTGGTCTGATGCCAAGGTTCATGTTAGACCAAGGTCAAGTTCTCAATCAAGGCATGCCTCAAATATTTCAACCTCCTCAAAGGTATCAGATGCAATCACCAAGTACATGTACAAGTGGTCTGTTCCCCGGTTCCCCGGCAGGGGCAGTATCATCATCTGGAACTAACCAGACACAATTTAATATTGCGGCTTCTAGTAAACAATGTGGTACAGTGGATCAAAGAACAGCAAAGGAAAGCTATTCCAAAGATCGCCATCATCAGAGATCACATGACGAGCGATCACACGAGACAAGCAGTCACTCCTCACGCAAAGATTCTGATCATCGTAACGACCACCATCACCACCACCATCATCATCATCACAGACATCATCATCACCGAACATCACCTGGTCCATCAGTTAGGAAAGAGGAATCTAAACACCATTCATTGGATCATAGAAAACGTGAGAGTCATCACCGTTCCCATAGTAGCAGTAGAGAGCGCCGACCTGATAGTCGACATTTACACAGAGAAGAAAGAAAACAGTCTAGACGTAGTGATGACGAGAGACATCACTCAACTCCAAGGTGAGTGAATATGTGAACTTTGACTTTATTGATGCTGGAAATATTTATGGTTTTCATAATTTTAGAGCATTTTTACAAACCTCACTGTGACTCCCTGTCATACTCAAATTTTTGCTACTACAATACTGGTTAACACTGGTATTTTTTTTTTAAATCCGCTGAATTAAATCTAGGCATTGTTTCACTGTTAAGTTAGTGAACTTAAAACCCCAGTGAAATTGCTCAAAACATCGAAAAAGTGACATTAAATGCCAGTAAAAATTTTGCAGTATTGTTATACTGCCCCCATTCTGCCATTCTGTATTTCTTTTTTGTGTAAAAATGTTGTTCACCTTTTTCATACAGTTTGGTATGATGCTTGCTGTGATTTTACCTCGATTTTGGTGAAATAAAACTTTAGTCCATGCTCACCAAAATGTGTTACGTAAATTTAGTGTCAGTTATTCATTCTGTTACTTATTTTATATTTCAGATCAATTGAAAGAAGGGAGCACAGAGATCACCGTAGTAATTCTAATACAGATAAAAAACACCGCCTTCATGATAGAAGGCAAGTATTGTTGTGTTATATAGTTGAATTTCCATTCATCGAAGGATCTTTTATATTCTGTGATAGGTGTGGGCCTAACATCTACCACAAATATCAAATGATTTGATATTGGTCTTTTTTCTCAGCTCAATGTTGAAATGCATATCTTTCAGAAAGAAACATTGCATTGAGATAACCTTACTTCCTCTGATGTGTATAGCACATTATTAAGCGTGGAAATACCCCAAAACTACTTTTGCGTTTGTCGAATCACATGTGATGTTTTGACGCCAATATGATTTTAGTTTGTCCTAGTTTTGTGTTTGATTTCATGCATAATGTGATATCTCGTTTTGAACCACAGATGGTCTTTAATCAACTTTCTTAGTACAGCAAAGTATAATACTGTGTTAATGCAATTGTAATAATATTACAATGGGCACACCCGGTAGGCAATTACCGAAGGACTTTGCTACATCCTCAGACACGTTCCTAGACACTCCAATGACCGTTGTAGACGCAATAAAGTTACATACCCGCCTACGTGTGAGTTAATCAAAACACCAGACGCTGTATGCCTCATGTGGCCATGAGGGAGTAGGGTAGTTGGACTATTCCATTGCTTTGTAGGTACAAAAATCATTGCTGTGTAACACTTGGAAAAAATATAATACAAACATAAAAATTTGTAATGAATATTAACAAGAAATGATAAATGTAAATTCTTTTGATTTGTAGTTTGTTGAGATGTTGTCAATGGATGTATACTAATAATATTAGCGCTGTGAATGTCGCGTTCTACATTTCTTTTCGGGTATGTAACTTTATTGCGTCACTGGATCGTCTAGGAAAATGTCTGGATATGCTGCAAAGTCTCTCGGCAATTGCCTACCAGGTGTGGAAGTTAGGTCTATGTAAATTTCTACCATGCCATGGGAGAACTTGCAATTTGCATGATTGTCTCGTCTGTACAAAAAATCACTATTATTATAATAACAATTTTCTCCCCAAACTTAGTTCTTCACTCTCACCTAAAAGATCACGATGGGAGCATTTGGAGAAAGACAATGAAATGCGATCGGAGGATTTTTCTGTTTCGGATTCCAAAGACAAGAAAGCAGTAATAGAAGAGCCGAGTAAACCAGCTTGGATTAGGTGTACACCCATGGAAAAATTCTACTCCGCTGATCCCATGGATCAAAAGGTGCCTATCAAATACTGTAAAATACTTTATTTTCACACGGAATTAATTTTCGCTATTTTCGCTGAAGAAATGTGGACATAAAATCCAGCGAATATACTTTTTTTTCCTATATTTACATTCAACTTGTGAAAATAGTGCCACTACTTTGCTACTACTTTGCTGTACTTTGCATCTACTTTGCATCTACTTCACCACACAGTGAAAATAAATTCTATACAAAACACCCAAAATGTCTTTTCAGCGAAAATTAATTCCAGCTAAAATAAAGTATTTCACAGTACTAGTATCTTTAGTCTTGTATATCACCGAATTTTTAACTGAAACAGAACATGTATTAAGTACGTCGTAATTCAAAATCATAATAGTTAACAGAAAACGTTTTTTTTCATTCATAGAATGATTCCACCGTAGCTGGCACTAGTAAATTACGTGACATTTACGACAAATTCACGCATGATATCACCAAGAGAGCAGAACGAGCTAAGAGCAATCTAGAATCCAAAATTCCAAATGAGTGCAGCAACAAGCATTGTACACATAAAGGTGGGTATGAATATGGAATCATGAACTTGAATGTGAACACAAACCTGAGTAAGAATTTACCTTCCTCAACATTTCGAAAACATTTTTTTAAATCAAAATTCACAAAACCATTAAGTAAACTTGTATAAATGAATCAATTGTGAATCAAGCATTGTACACACAAGGTGGGTATGAATCCGAACACAAACCTGAGTAAGAATTTACCTTCCTGAACATTTTGAAAAATTTTTTGAAATCAAAATTCACAAATCCATTAAGTAAACTTGTGTGAATGAATCAATTGTGAATCAAGCATTGTACACACAAGGTGGGTATGAATATGGAATCACGAACTTGAATCCGGACACAAACCTGAGTAAAAATCTACCTTCCTGAACATTTTGAAAATTTTTTTAAAATCAAAATTCACAAATTCATTAAGTAAACTTGTATGAATCAATTGTGAATCAAGCATTGTACACATAAAGGTGGGTATGAATATGGAATCACGAACTTGAATCCTTTACAAACCTGATTAAGAATCTACCTTCCTTAACATTTTGAAAATTTGTTTGAAATCAAAATTTACAAATTCATTAAATAAATGTGTGTGAATCAATTTAGTTTCATACAAAACAAATTTTCGCAAATTTTGCGAGACTGTGCAATTCAGCGATAACTGACTAATTTGTCTCAATTTTGGGTCCCCTGCAACAATAGATACTATTCGCCGCTGATAAGTTTCATCAATGCGAAAGCGAAGCTTGGAAAAAAATAGTCAGCAATGGCAATCACGTGATAAGAACGAACTGTGTAATGGGGATTTGTGGGATGGTTCATTTGTCTTATATATTATATGTCATTTATTTTCAGTTGAAGTACATATATCGGATAGCGAGAGCAGCAGCAGCGAGAGCGGCAACGAGTCAGACATGGACGACATGGTGAATTTTAGTCAGATAGATAATGAGATGCGCCGGAAGAAGGAACATCCTCTTAGGTTGCATGACGAACTCTGGTTTAATGAACCGGGACAGGTGAGGACATCGTATCAATTTGTTGGTTTCCGTAGACTACCACTATAACAAATTCAGGCATACAAAAGGAAAGATGGTGACTAAATTTCAGTATATAAATTGCACTCAATGGTAATCTAGGCTAAGTGCTCCTCCAAATGATTCTTTTTGATAATCAGGATGCAGAAAGTATTATATTTTTCTGTGTATACAATTATAAATATTTATAGAATAACATTTTAATGAGAAATTTAAACACAATTCGACACAATAATTGTTAGTCACTGATTAATTCAAATCATGTTAATCCATATTGTTCATGACATTACATCTTTTCAAGGCAGAAAAATGTGTAGTAAGATGTTAGCACATTGGATTAACACATCTGGTCATGTTTGTACTGCCATTCAAATTATATTTCGCAAGATACTTTAGTGCAATCTCGGGGGATTGCGGAGCCGCACCTCAAGTCATTTCAAGTACATGTTCAGTAGTTACTCTATTAGAAGTGCACATAAACAAAAAATTGAATTTATTGTATACTGAATCTTTAAAATATGACTTATTTTGTACCAAAATATCTTGCTTCTGTCATTTACTTCAAAATATGCATGCCACTAATAAAGAAATATGGTACAACTCATTATACCATGTTTGTTTCAAAGTGTCATGTAATTGAATCAAATATTGCCGTCAAAGGAATTCTGACTTGTTACACTCAACTAACAGCAAAGACTAATATAATTCTTTCAGATGAATGATGGTCCTCTCTGTAAATGTAGTTACCGAGCCAAACAAACCGGAATCCGACATAACATTTATCCCGGAGAAGGTAGCATTCCTGCCTGTGATCCTTTAACAAACAACGCTGGAAGGCTCCATCATTATCGAATTACAGTATCACCACCGACTAACTTCCTTGTAAGTTGAGTTCTTTGCCTCTTTGTCATATCAAAAAGAATGCTCAAACCTGTATTATCAGTAAAAAAACAACAACCACAGTTGAAAAAAACTTTTCTGCATTGAAACACAAAAAATATATGGTATAGACATGTAGAGAGACAGTGATTTTCTAATATTTTTTGATCACTTACATTTCTTTTACTAGAAATATAAATCTGTCACTGGTGGCGCTATTAAATTTTGTGTGAGCGATTAATGTATTTTACATACATTGTATTTGTCCCTGGCCGACTTTTTTTATAATTACCGTGTGTAGCCAAGTGACATATCATGTCAACTTATCTGAACCAGGCCCTGAACAGAATGAGATAACAGAAGTGTTCTCAGAAATAACATCTTAGCCATAGACCGAATTCTTGTGCATGGTTACTATTATTTGAATTATGTCAGCTCTGTACATGTAAACACATATATGTGTAACTTATCTACTAAAATTAGGAGCATGGCATAAAATACTTTATTACTGTTTTAAAGTGCCTGTGCAATGCCCACCCTCACGTTTCCCATTTTAGATTTGTGTCCCACTGAAAAGGGTAGTTATTGATTTTTTTGCTGAAAACGATTACTCTTATCCAAGTAAATTTGGTATATTTCTCGTGTTGTAGCCACGCCCACCTATCGTGAAACGGTCGACTGTTTCCGGATTTCCGACTCTCGCCGAAAGTGCGCCACCAAATGACAAAATGTGAGAGGAAGTCATACCCCTGAGCCGTAATAACATTGGTCGTTCAGTATACTTTTAAACGATATACATTTTTCGGTCGGCGTTTTTCTTGTTTTTTGTCTTTTTTTTTTTTTTGAGAGAGAGTTTTTAGATGTTGTGTTGTGGGCAGTTGCAGTGAAACGTATAGCCATAGTGTATGTATTTACACGTTTCTAATCGATCCGAAGGTGTGACATCACTTAAACATAGATTCTTTTTTTTGGGAAAATCTGTCCTCGTCCATAAAAAAAAAAAACGACTAGGTTTAAAGAGAAACGTAAACCTGGCGCAACACTTTTGAAAGAAATAGATTCCGGACCAGCCCATGATCACCGAGGCGGATTTCAGAAGAGAGAGAGACGTCCGGCAAGTGTTTCAAATCAGTTGACTTTTTTTGCGATTCTGATTATCGTTTTATAGAGACCATTTAGTCCCTGTTAAGTAAAAGGTAGCAATAATTTTGACAGTGACACGAAAACGAAGCGTCAGACAAACAGGAAATTACACAGCCCTTACACACTGCTAACTGTTTTCATTTTCGAAGGCTAAAAGTTTCTGAATTGTTTGGTGATTGGTGTTGAATGTCAAATTCACACCTCTGTTCTTTTTTACCTCCATGCTTGCAGCATTATCTGTGTAATAATTTATGAAATAAGAATCCGGGCTTGGTCAATGTGTTTCCACCAAATAAAGTTTTAATATGATGTTATAATTATGACAATCACGCCATGGATCACGATAACTCGAATCCACTCTG